TATAAAAAAATGCGCGACTTGCCAGACACAGAAACTCAATAGGATCAAAAGAAGAAGTGAAGCCATCATTCCAGATACTCCTACAGAACCGAACGACAAAATAGCCATGGACATTTTTGGCCCTTTACCAGTCACAAGCGAGTCCAACGAATATATACTATCAATCCAAGACGTTTTAACAAAATACCTTATTTTGATACCACTAAAAGATACCTCATCTGAAACAATTATAGAAAACCTGTTCGATCACTATATTTATACGTTTGGATCTCCTAAACAAATCCTAACACACCAAGGACAGAATTTCATCTCCGAGTTAGTACAGAACTTTGAAAATTTATTCAGAATAAGACACATTAAAACAACCGCCTTTCACCCTCAGAGTAACGGCGCATTGAAAAGAACACATGGAACCATCAAAGATTTAATTAGGACAGCCATGTCAGATTTGCATACAGAATGGGATAAAACGCTAAAATTCATAAGCATGGCATTCAACACAATGCAACACGAAGGAACCGGATACTCCCCTTCGAATTGACATTTGGCCGAAACCCTAATATCTCCTCCACACTTGCTACTACACCAAGTTTGAAATATCCGGAACTTGTAAGGTTATGGCAAGAAAGACATGAGAGGTATATTTCGAAAGCAAGAGAACAAATTCAGAAGTGTAAAGAAAGATATAAGAGAGCACAAGATGCTAAAATAGTTTTATCCCAAAAGCTGTTGAACAGCGGGGACCCAGTAATGATTTCCAACACAAAAGAAAATAAATTAAGTCCTGATTGGAAAGGGCCGGCTACTATTCTAAAAACACTGCCAAATAATAACTATGAGATAATTTTTAATAACGACAGAACGATTATCCACGCAGACAGACTAAAAATATTTTATTCTTAGATTTCAGATCAAAAATGCAATTCCTACTCAAAATAATTGCATTATCAACCCTTATTCAAGCTGACATCGTTGTAAAGCCTCTGAAGAACATCCCTATTTTTGCGGAAAATTTAGGCACTACCAGTCTATATCACCGTACATGGAAATTAATAATAGGAGTGGACACCTCAACAATAGAAAACAGATTCCAACAAATTTTGAAGGCGTATGAAAAGGCATCAAATCTGTGCCCGGAATGTCAAGAAAAATTTGAATTACACTCAATCTGCAATAGGATTAATAGGATTGAAGATTTAAAGGTTACTTTAGACCAAATCCTTGGGTTTTCACGCACAAAACGAGGCATATTAAACATCGTAGGATCAATTTCGAAAACATTATTTGGAACCCTCGACGAAAACGATCTGACATTAATTAACGGAGAACTCGACGACATTTACAAAAACCAAAAATTAATGGGACAAACAATAGGGAACCAAACGAGGATTTTAAAAACATTGTTAAATTCAGCATCTCACGATTTAGAAGTGTTAAATGAACAATCTGAGGGTCAAGTAAATCGATTAAATACCATAATCAACGCCACAAATATTAACCAAAGAAACTTAATAGTAGCTAACATGATTGTTCTATGCAGCATCGCAATTGAGGAACTTTATGATGATCTAAACCTGATAATAAACGCTGTTAATGATGGAAAACATGGGATCATTCATCCACAAATTCTCACACCTAGTATACTGATTCAAGAATTGCAACAAATCGAAGAGGAAACCAATAGCAAATATCCTATTAGACTGACTCCACAAAACTACCAACACATTATAGACATTTCTGAAACTAACATTGTGATTGCAAACAAACGTCTCGTTTACATACTAAGAATTTCAGAAATAGAACAAGGAGAGTTCCAAACATTACACTTGATTCCAATCCCAATTCACCACGGAAAAGGTTTCCTTGCACCTGTTCCTCCACATGAAATAATCCTAATTAACTCCGAAAGAAGCTTATATATACCCAGCGATGTGAAACTTCTCGACAATTGTAAAAAAATAGAAAACCATTATAAAAAGTTGAGAAAAATTCGATCCTTGGAAGGAATGAAATAACATAAAAATTGTATCATTCCTTCCAAGGATCGAATTTTTCTCAACTTTTTATTAAACATTCCGGAAGGGAAAATCCTTACTCTACAGAAAACCATTATATTTGCAAAAGAACGCAACCAACGTATCTAGTTAGTGAAATAGAAAACTGCGAAACCAGTATTATAAAAAATCATAATAAAATCATCTCAGACCGCATTTGCGAATTCTCTGTGTTTAGAATCTTAGAATTAGCTTTTATACCTTTACATGACACGAATCAATACATAATTATTCCAGAAAGCGAAGTAGAATTAACTACCAATTGTAAATCGTCAGTGAACAGTATATATGTTAAAGAACCGAGTATTATTTTCAGTAATTCCGACTATGAATTGCATACACCAAAATCAATTTTAAAATTCAAACAATCCATAGAACACAGAACAGATATATTGTTTAGGAGAAATATATCCTTTTCTATCAGCGAAAACGACTTAGAATTGTTACACGGACAAGTACCAGTAATTCAAGAATCAATTCATCGAGAAAGACTAAGTTCTTTAAAACGTAGCCTAGACGTTATGGAGACTTCAATTCAAAATATTAAATATGCTAGAAGAAATAAAACGTGGCTCGAAAAAGGTACAGATTTATTAACATACTTAGGGTATGGTTCCCGTCATACATTGAACTTATACGGAATAAATTTACACTGTATTAATATAAAAAAGATAATTATAAGATTTTAAAATACTCTACCTAAAATAATAAATAATAAAAAGAATTAATTTAATCCAAACTCATATGAACAGAAATCCTTTCAATCATATTTAGCGTTTCATAGACTCTCAAAATAGGTGCTGTCCTATTTGCAGACACAATCGCAGTATATAATAATTCAGAACCACATGAGAAAAATTGAGCCCAGAAAAAAAAGAATTGGAAGTAAGCGAAAAGAATTGGTGGTATCTTAAGCTGAATTCGGTTTGGCGAAATAACCGAATTGGAACGTTACGGTAAATTATTTTTTTCTTACCGTGAATTCTTTTCTCTTGAACATTTAAATTGACGTTTGTTTATTCGAGTTTGCATTATAAATGAATAGATTAAATGTTTCGAAGTCTACAAAAAACGATTTGGAGTAAGAAATATATAATTTTTTAAAAAGAAATAAAAGTAAAATGTGACAGATTTACCGACAATTTCACTATGTGAGTATTATATTATATTCATATATTTCGTTTTGTATTATCAACAACTTATTGTATTTGTATGTAAACAAACCACACTTAAAATTAAAAATAATTTTGTTCAATAAAGTAAATAGATTAATTTAATTCATTAACGTTGTAATTATAATTTAAAGAATTTAAAAAAATGTAATCCCTGATTACAAATCCAATATCAGTATTTTAAAATTCTCAAAACTCAAAATGGCGGATCCAATATAGCGAATCAAAATTACTAAAAATGGTCACTGATTACAAATCCAATATTAGTTTCTAAAAATTAAAAAGGCAAAATCCAATATGGCTGACGAGAAAGTAAAATATTAATTAATTGCTTACAAATGCAAACTGATGTTTGCTATCGGATCTATCAAAATTAGTAACCTCAGCTAAATTTTTTGCTATGCCAACGAAAAAGTTTGTTATGATATACAATATCAAATCAAGAGAAGGCACCTCTTGTAAAAAAGATTGCGAAAGTGAAAGTAACCTCAAATCCTAAGCAAACCAATAAGAAGAAAGCGACGAGTGGATATACAATGGGGCCGTCCGTATACCACGTGGACACTTTAAAGGGGAGGGGGATTTAAAAAGTCCACTATTCAATGTATTTTTGTATCCACGATGGGGGCAGGGGGGTCAAAAATCAGTAAAAAATTGTCCACGTGGTATATGAACGGCTTCAATAGTAATCCGAGTCGCAATTGGAACAACGTATGCCAAAATACTGAGCAAACTTCGGAAGGAAGTGAATCCGGAGGTCAGCCATACGCAGGTTGTGGGCGCTAGGCCTACTAGAAGGGGAGATATTCTGATTAAAATTGGAGGAGACTCCAATAAGGAGGCATTCACCGCTGTGGTCGACAAATCGGTTAGAAGCATGGGAAGGTGCAGACCGTAGATCGACAGGTCACACTGGAGATCAGCAACCTGGATTGCGTTACCCAGGAATAGGAGGTCGAGCAGGTGCTGGCGGAACTGTTCCAGAAGTCAGAAAGCAGGAAGGTGACGGTCCTAGGACCCTACCTTTAAGTGCGGTAAAGTCAATCATAAGTTTGCAAATTGCAGAAGAAGCCCAAGCTGCTTCTTATGTAGAGAAAAGTATGGTGATTAGGCGAACATTAGCCATATCGCAGGTAGCGAAGGATGCGGACTCTTCAGAACGGCACTTGAGGAGTCCAAGAAGACTCTTGCACGAACCAAGAATAAATAGGCCAGAAAGATCGGTAACGGCAAGGGTCGTAATAGCGAGATCCCAGGGACCTTCACCTACAAAGTTTAAAGCTTGACGGCAGTTCCGTTGTGTGAGGATTAGGCCAGCCAAAGGGTGTGGTTTTTAGTCGGTCGACCAGAACAAGAACGATGATCCCCACATAACCTAGGAGGACCAGACTCCTGGTATCTGCCTTGGATATCAAGGGTTAGGCAGATTTTCCACATTCCACGTTAAAAATGGTATATTACGGTATACACCGCACAATAAACAAATTTAGAGTGAGCCAAAGAATAAAATAATGTTTTTAAAGCGGACTCGTTATTAAAACCCTTACAAATTCTGAATTTGACAGTTTAACATTTAGCCCCGGTCTCCCCTATATAAATTTGATATACAGTAACGTGAAAATTTATTAAAAAGTGTCAATAATTAAGAGATTCTCTTACAATTAGTCTCTTACAATAAAAATTAGCACGTCTTATACAATCTGCTATGTGTATAAAATATAAAAGCATATTTGATGTGCAATTAGGAAAAGAATAATGTATTTCAGCTACAAACCTATCTTCGCATTCTGTCCGATTAGCGGCAGGTACCTCTTTTATTTCCGTTAGTTGTAATTTTAATTTTTTTCGTGGATGTCTTTCAAATATGTAGCGTCGATTTGGACAATCTCTCTCTATTCGATTTGCTGAAACAATCATATAACTCGTGTAGAAATCGCAAATATTTTTTTATAATTTCTTTATAGGAGGTTCCCATTACGGGAGTAAAAAAAATTGATTTTTTATTGCATTTTTGGAAAGTTATATATGTGTGGAATATGTGTGTAAAGCGATTTTTTGATCCGAAGAATATTTTCGTTTCTACAGCGCCTTGAACTCATCCACGTTCCAAAGCTGAGAACCGCTGAAGTCGTAAGTAGTCCGACATATCCCCCACAGCAGCCAATCTTTACTAAAAATTTCGTAAAGATTTCCTTGAAATCTTGGGAACATTTTATTGCAAAGTTTAATGAAAATTGCATAAAGATTTAAATGTCCCACCAAAATAAATATTTGGCGTAAAAGTTGACTAAAAATTTAAATGAAATTTTCAGGAAATGTTCGTCGCGAAAATTGACTGAACATTTAAATTCAATATTCATTAAAAATTTATAGCGAAAGTTGAGTGAAAATGTAATTTAAATATTCAGTCAATTTTTGTGACGAACATTTCCTGAAAATTTCATTAAAATTTTTACTCAATTTTTGCGACGAACATTTACTAAAAATTTCATTGAAATTTTTAGTCAACTTTTACGCCAAATATTTATTTTGGTGGGACATTTAAATCTTTATGCAATTTTCATTAAACTTTGCAATTAAATATTCCCAAGATTTCAAGGAAATCTTTACGAAATTTTTAGTAAAGATTGGCTGCTGTGGGGGATTGGATCCGCTGTCTTGAATTTTAAAAATCTGATATCATATTCGTAATCAGTGAACCCAAAAACACCCGAGAAACGAAGTTCAGGCAAATTCAATCAATTATTTTAGAGTAGAAAAATATTACACCTCAAAATGTTCCCAAAACTTTAAACGTATTTTTCTTGAAACAAGATTTTTCAAACTGGTGGGCTTCGTAGCGTCTAAACTATTAGACCAATCGACTGCGGGTTTGCGGCAGATTAAAGGTAACTAAATTCTGCTGGGGTTATACCTTTAAAATGATATAATTATTGTTAACAATAAAAAATTTTTACAAGAGGTCTAACATGAAAAAATAAGGCAAAAAAGGCAGTGTTTTAAAAAAGTCGCCGACATTTTGTCATATGTTTAACTTTTTAACTATTTAAATTCTATTTATTCTTTAGGATGTCACCTTTCTAAAAATGTGGAAGTTTTTGTTTTAAACTCAAAATTGAGCAGTGTAGAATACCCACCGTTTTCCCTATTTAAAAAAACATTGTTTACTAGGTGCGCCAATTGGTCGCCATTTTGAAATTTTTTGAAAATGAAATATATCTTTTAAAAGTTCAAAGATGTACTTTCATTTAAGAAAAGAAACTATATCACTAAGTCAGAACCGTCCCCCGCAAAAAATTGTCAAATTTTGTGTTGATTTTCGCCTCCGCAATGAGAACCTCCCTTTAATAGATAGTATTACGAGCAGGAAAAAAGTCCTAAGACCTTGTAGCGGTTCCACGTGTATTTTTAAGTGTAATTGATACAAAATATCACTTGAAGTACACGTGTTTAAGAGCTATGTGAATTTTTTTGTAAATATTTCCATCTGGAGCCTAGAATTGTCCTACCAATACAACCCTAGTTATTATATTTAATTGATTGAGGGTCCTGATCAAATAACTCGACCGACGATCGGACGAACGCTCTAATGGTAGTCAAGACCATTCAAAAGTAAAAACAAATAAAAATTGGAAATTATAATTTAATAATTTTGTCGGCTTCTCTGGACCCTAATACGTAAGTATACCAAAATTCACTTAATTTCGTGAAGATTTGTTTAAGATAAGACGAATTATGTTTTACAGGACTTCTTTAAGATGCCCTGAACAAATAATGTTTATGACAAAATGCCCCACAAAGAATATTCTTCTAGTTATATGGGGTAAAAGTGACAAAAACAAAAAAAAGAGTGAAATACACAGAATGGGGCTATTCAATTATTATGTAAGCATATTATTAAGGTTTTTTGACCAAGACTCCCCCAAAATAAGCACGTTCTTCGCGACATATTTTCTCCTTTCTTACAACAGAATAGTATAATGTAGCCATGTGACGGGTGCGTTTGAAGAGGAATATTGGAGCAAGCTTGCCAACAGTGAGACAGTTTAAGTTTATTACAATCTTGCAGCAAACTTGCACAGCAAGCTTTCTGAAAGCTTGCGTGCTTTCTAGGTAATGTTAAAAATCCTATGTTAGATCCTACACAAGTTCCTAATATCGACGTAGTGTAATGATAAAGTGTTTATTCAAATTACAGCGCAATAAAGTGTTATTTCAGAAAATTGGGATATATATGGTGTCTATTAAAAATTTCGTGCAATATAGTTTACTCAAAAGAATTAATTTTTTAATCATTTTAAGGTCAAAAATACTTTATAATAATAATTATCTGAAGAATCAAATTCAGGAGATAAAACAATAAAATAACTGATTGACAAATTTTATAACCAGATATTTTTACTCCAGCAATGCAGAAACAAAGCCAGAAATGCTCCCTCACCCTCTTAATTTTTTTTATATCGAAAAACCACCCTTAAATAGTAAAATTCAAATTTAAGAAGTAAAAAAATATTATATTACCGGCTTTTTTTAAAAACAGAACCTTACAGGTATGTAGTTTTGCTCTACTAACTCAAAAAATAAAGCCAGCATTGATCCAGCACCCCCTGAATTTTTTTAATTGAAAAAACTACCCCTAATCTGAAGAATCAAATTAAGGAGATAAAACAATAAAATAACTGATTGACAAATTTTATAACCAGATATTTTTACTCCAGCAATGCAGAAACAAAGCCATAAATGCTCCCTCACCCTCTTAATTTTTTTAAATCGAAAAACCACCCTTAAATAGTAAAATTCAAATGTAAGAAGTAAAAAAATATTATATTACCGGCTTTTTTTAAAAACAGAACCTTACATGTATGTAGTTTTGCTCTACTAATTTTAAAAATAAATCCAGCATTGATCCATCACCCTCTGAATTTTTTTAAATCGAAAAAACTACCCCTAATCTGAAGAATCAAATTCAGGAGGTAAAACAATAAAATAACTGATTAAAAAATTTTATAACCAGGTATTTTTACTCCAGCAAGGCAGAAACAAAGCCAGAAATTCTCCTTTACCCTCTAAAATTTTTTTAAATCGAAAAAACTACTAAAGAATCAAACTTAGGAGGTAATACAATATAATTATTAATTTAAATTAATTAAATTAATTATTAATATAATTATTACCTCCTAAGTTTGATTCTTCAGATTAAGGGTAGTTTTTTCTATTTAAAAAAATTCAGAGGTTGATGGATCAATGCTGGCTTTGTTTTTGAGTTAGTGGAGCGGAAATACATAGATGTAGTAAGGTTCTATTTTTAAAAAAAAGTCAGTTATTTAATTTTTAATCTCCTAAATTTGAATTTGTCCGATTAAGGGTGGTTTTTTCGATTTAAAAAAATTTTAGAGAGTGAGGGAGCATTTCTGGCTTTGTTTCCGCATTGCTGGAGTAAAAATACCTGGTTATAAACTTTTTTAAACAGTTACTTTATTGTTTTACCTCCTAAGTTTGATTCTTCAGATTAAGGGTAGTTTTTTTATTAAAAAAACTTTTGGGCTTGGAATTTTTTTTTTGGAACTTTTGACTCCCTACCCAGAATCTGTAGGCTGTCCATCTTTTGCAGAATCAAACTTTTCTCCAGGAGTAATATCTTTAGATTTTACTTGTGTAGTTATGGGTGTTGATGTTTCTTTCTCGACAACTCCGTCAATTCTATCCACCTCATCTATTGGCTGGGAATAAAGATCCTCGTAGTTAACTGTACGTGAACTTTCAACCGGTGAATAAATTTGACTATTCTCCTGATTTATTTGAGAGAACCATTTTTTGATTTTAAATACATTATTCAATGCACACGAAAAATTTTTATGTTGTTTTAGACCATAATGTAGACAATATTCTGTGCATGCATCCATTTTATTGTGACTCGGACATGATAGATCTTCCAGATTAACAATTTACGACTCATAACGTCTTGTAGAAGGGAAGATTTTTCTCGACCTCGTGTAAAAATTTGTCCAGCGTTTCTTGCAATACTACGAAGCGTAGCGTGCATATGTTTAACGGGAACATCTCCTTCAAACCACTCGATACCATGGAAATAACAAGTCAAAGGTTATCTTAAACTTGAAAGATATGGTGCCTATCTAACCTCCAAAATCAACAATGACCTGCCTTGACGAGTCTATTTCAAGAACATTATCGTATTCTCCGTAAACAATACAGTTTACAGTCTCTGTTAAAGCATTATTGAAGCGCACTTCAATTCTAAGGCTGTCGCTTCATATAAAATTCTAGTGAGAATAACAGTTTGCCGACAGATCTGGTGTTAGGTCAAAAGCAAACAGACAAAATCCATTAGAATAGCTAGCTCTGTCTATATCATTTCCATCGTTGAGAAAATGTATTCCAATTCCAGAAAATAAAGTTTGATAACAATCAATATAAAGACCTTCTTTATTGAAATCAGGTTGTAGAGGTTTAGAAGGAATCTACATACCATCAATATAAGAGGATAAGAAATTAATGTCATAATTTTTTAAATTAAACGGGTTTAAACCTGTATTTCCATTGTATGCTTTATTATTAACAAAACCAATTATTACTTTTTTCGGTAGTTGTCTTAAAATGACATTATCTAAAGTAAAAGCGTGAACAACCCTATGTAAAGTGAATGTTTTAACCTCAACTCTTGTAATGGGATATTTTGCTTTACCATGCAAAAGAGCTTTGGTATGAGCTAGAAGAACGGCAGGACCAATTTTTGATCGTCGGACAAGAAGTGTCGCTTCTGAGATATGTATGAAACACTGGTTTGTAGGGTCTAAAAGTGTAAAAGTATGTTTTGAACGTACAAGTCGGAGTCGCATTTCAACACCATTCAAACGAAATTTGTTTTGATTAAACACATCACAAT